TCTGTTCATGGATTGGATTCAAAATGCGCCGCGCAGGATGGCATACTTATTTTTGGTTGTCATTTCTACCTTTAGTTGTAAGTGAATCATCATCAGTTTCATTTCATTTCATTTCATTAATTTGTAGCTAGTAATTCATTATTTTAGTTAGTTATTTGAGGAATGAGACAAGCTCACGAGTTTATAACACGGTTGGGTGATGATAGCTTCTACTTCTTGTGGGGACCAAGTTAGAGCATATAATAATCCGCTTAGCTCAGGAGAATGTCGACAAGAAGATTCAAGACCAAGAAGCAGCACGAGTGAAACCCTCGAATAAACACTTTTGGTTCCATCGTCCTGGAATTGTGCTCGACTTAATTCACTTTATTTTATTTCAAAATACATTTGAGATTGCATTCTTCTGCTGGATCTTGGTACGTCAGACTCACCATGCAGTTATGTTAGATAAGATATCCATCCATCCCAATAAATGTTTTCCAACTGCTTAACTTTCTCTCTGTTTATTTATAGTTTACCTATGGGTTCCATTCATGCATCATTGAAAAAAAACACTACATCATCCCAAAATTAACCAGTCCAATTTCAGCAGAAACAAAGAACTTCACCCAGTCCATTGGAGTTAAACCAGGATTTTTCTTTTCTGGCCTGTTGAGCATGCATGCAAAATTAAGTTTGCTAATTAATAACAAATTAATTAATACATGCACATGCATATATATATATATATATATATATATGGGAGCTAAATTAAAACTCACAAGTACAATCTCCAAATCAGCCATTGGAATACTCTTAAAATGCTTGACTAACACTTGCTCAAACTGCTAGATTAACAATTTGCATGAGGCAATTAATGTCTTGTGAATGGTGTATTTAACAAAGCTATCATTTAAAGCATTAACTACAAATATGGACTAAGTTGCAACTTCAAGCTTCTTAATCCCCAAGCTTCTAGGCTAGTTTTGATACCCTAGAGTTTAGCATCATTATTGATCCCATACCTAAGACATTTTGCAAAACCCATGACCCAGGTACCCTCGTGATCTCTACTGACTCCTTCAGCACCAAAGTAGGTTTGATCGAAGTTAGAGGATCCATCAGTGTTTATTTTGAACCACTTGCCCCTTGGGGGAATCCATCTAATGGGAATATAGGAATAGGAAATAGTTTTTGTAGGATGGGAATTGGAGGAGCAAAGTTCTACGATAAGTTCCATGCTTTTACAAGTAATTCCTTGCAAGTTAGAGCTATTATTGAAGCAAAGATTGTTTCCATCAAGCTATAGATTCCAAATGAGGTAACAAAAATAAGCTGCCCAAGGGATTCAAGGATGGGTAGCCCAAAGTTTAAAATTGCAATTAGCTTTAAGCCAGTCAGAGAGGTTAAGTTAGAAGCTATTAAGAAGAGCAATTGGAATAGGTATAGATTGCCAACATTTTGAGGTAATAGGGTAGTCTCAATTGAGGCAAAGGGTAGTTTTAGGAGCAGAGTTGCAACGGGGACATGCAGTAGGGATGTATATACCAAGAAAGGATAAAAGGATCCTAGAAGGGATTCTATCATGAGCAATAAGCTATATAAAGAAATTAATTTTTGGAATAGTGGGACATTTCTAGATCAATTTCCATAAGACTCCTTTATCTTATGCCTTAGAGTTGCATACCATATGATAGGCAAATGAGAGTGTAAAGTGTTAGGTTCTCTTTGTATTTTGATGATGATTTAAAACCATGATTTAAAGAGTTAATCTATTTTTGTGCTAAGTGTGCAGGAAAGTTAATTCAAGGGTTCTAATTTTTCCCCATGATTAGAATTAAATCTGTTGTACCTATGATTTTGATGATTACAAAACACATTTGAGTGACTAATTGGTTTAATTAAGTGTGTAGTTAAATTGCTAAAAGATTGCAAGTAAACTTGGACTGCACTTAAAAATGGACCAGAAAGGCTTGAGTATGTGCAGAGAGCCGGCTCTGGTGACATGGAAATGCAGAGAGCCGGCTCTGGAAGCTGCAGCCGGCTCTGGAAGCTGCAGCCGGCTCTGGAAGCTGCAGCCGGCTTTACGGGTAAAGATTTAAAGGTTCGTTGTTTGGCGCGTGCGGAGAAAAGACTCAGAGCCGGCTCTAACTTTGCAGCCGGCTATAAAGGCGCATTTAATGCACAACGGTCGATTTATTTGAAGAATAATTAATATTTTTAAAGTTGGAATATCAAAGCCGGCTGTCTAAGAAAACAAAATGTTCAGCAAACCCGCAAAGCTGGCTTTGCGTTTTGGAGCCGGCTCTACGGAGAAAACAGAATGTGCAGAATCCCGCAAAGCCGGTTGCAGAAATGGTGAGTCGGCTGTTCAGAGCCGGCTCTAGGAAGTTAAGCCGGCTATCCTGACAATCCTGCAACTCGAGCTGTGCGTCCTGCAGAGCATTTAATGACCCCCAACGGCTAGAAACGGCTATTTTCAAGCAAGGGGCTATAAATATGGTTGGTAACAGATCTGAAGAAGTTTAGAGAACATTGTATTGAATATCTTTACCTACTTACTTGAGTTTTAACTTGAGTTTTTGATCTTTAAGTGATTTGTGCTTGTAATCCTCTTCTTGTTCTATTAGTGTATGTTCTTGGGGGTGTGATTATTCCTTCAAGAGTGATCTATTGAGAGGATTCTTGGGGTTTACATTGTAAAGGGGTGAGGTTTGAGAGAAATACTAATATTTTTGTAAAAGGATTGAGTGGCTCCTTTAAGCTACCCTTGTCTTTCTTAGTGAAGAGTGTGGAGGAAATCCTTGGTGAGTGAAGCCAAGGTAGAGGACTAGGTTCCAAGTGGTTGGACCGAACCTCTATAAATTCATTGTGCAAGCTCTTCTTCTCCACTCTCTTTAACTTTGGTTTTGTGGTTGCAAAAAGGGGAGAATTTTTGGAACTCCTTTTACAACAAGATGAGTATTTCTCCCAAACCTCACCCCTTTACAATGTAAACCCCACAAATCCTCTCAATAGATCACTCTTGAAGGAATCAACACACCCCCAAGATCACTCACTAATAGAACAAGAAGAGGA